ATGAGAAAAATGTTGTGGCTAGTTGTTATTTTATTTGTTTTTTTTTTTTTTTTTTTTTGCCGTTTTGTATGCTGTCATGTTTTTTGTTGTCGTTCAAAATGCATTTAAACCATGATTTGTGTGCAAAATGAATAAATGCTTAAATGAACATTTAAGTGAATGCATTAATATATGTGTGTGATTGACTTGTGGCTACTTAGTGGGGATTTTAAATATAAATAAAGTTTTAAGCAAATAATATAATAAAATATATTTTACGGTGTATTTATTTATTAAAAAAATAAAACAATTTATTGTTTTCATAATTAAATATACAAAGAGTAAAATGCACCGACATACATAAATAAAAAGTTATCTTGTTAATTGTTAATTTAATTAGACAATTTTAAACAGCTACTGGAAATAAAAATTTAAAATATCACGACATACGTTATTTCATGTTTCATGTTAATTCCACAATGCATACGTTTCAGATTGCATTTAACCTTCTAATAATGGTGCAAGATTTCGCGGATCAACGATACTTTAACCTTCATGTCTACTTTATCGAATAATGCGATAAATTTGGTAAAAGATCGTAAAAGGTTGGCCAACTTTCTTAACAAAAGTAACCTGCAAGTGCGAGCTATCGTAAAATATTGCATTTGCATCAGTCGATTATCGATCAAGGTCATCCTTTCGATGACCCTGATAAACAATTATTACAAATTCCCTTTACTTGCTGTGGAGGTCGTTTTGTGGAGCAATAATAATATAACTTGTGTGACCGCGAAAGCTGCAAGAACGAGCGACGGTTGGCGAATGTGCTTATTATTATTATTATGCTTACTCCTATCCAAATGATAGATACTGCATAGCCATGATTTAAACAAACTTAACTCATTGTCACGTCGACAGATATTCTTTGTTCGCATTTTGACAAACTTCAATCTCATAACTCGCGCCTTCAGAATAATCTGTATTCCAATAAGGATGTGTTTGAATATGTTCAATGCAGATATACGGATTTCGTCAAAACCACAAACGTAATTTTGTTGATTGGTTTAATGCGTAGCAGCAGAGATTTAACTTTTCGACATAGGATTTTAAAATGGGAAATTATTTATAATATCCGAAGAAGGTACAAAGTGAATAAACGTTTTTGATATCAAACTCTATTGCCAATGAAAACTAGCTCATTGCCCTATCAATAAAGAAATTACGTCACTTTATAATAAGTCAAAGAAAAGAAGAATATTATTTTAAGAATATTATTTAATTCATTCAATTAATTATCTTAATTCAAAAATATTATAGTTTTTAGCCAACGGGAGGGGTCACGCGTCTTTTACCTTGTTGAGAGCCATTTTCACGGACGTACTGTAAGCAAAAAATGTTGTGGGGATCAGACTTGCAACTGCCAAATGGGCGTTTACGGGCTGTAGTCCCAGTGCAGTGAACCAGCTAACAGCTTTATATAATATACAGTTATTTGAGCTTATGTTTACTTATTATTACTTTAAGGCTAACAACATTACAAACTCTTTAGATTGAAGTTTACTTTTGCTTGCGATCTGTGTTTTCCGCTACAATGTTCGTGGTTTAAGTTCTTAGACTTAAGCTCGCTTGTTAGGATCTTAGGAAAATTTGTTTATTGAATCATTTATTTTGAACTTTGCTGTAGCTTTCGATCAATATTCGTCAGTATAAAGCCATAGTTGAATCTTAAAAATTCTGCTTAATTCGGCTGAATGCTCTTTGTAGCGAGAAGATAATAAATAAAGAGCTAGGACTTTTTATAGCAAAGATGATTGCTCGGATTGCAGTCCAACCTTTTGGCTGAAAACCGCTGCCTCAGTAGCTGTATGCGTCCGAAATGTAGGACGTTTACCAGGCTACTAACTCCAAATAAAATATAAATTCTTCACATTTGTGACTTTTGACGAAATTTATACCAAAGTAAAGCGAAATTAATGACAACAATCATGATGTGAATCGATCAACAAACGAAAATGTGAAAATCTTCTTACGTTAATTAAGAGACTATAAGAATATAGTAGTAGTTTCGGTAGTTTTCCAAATTTCCTTATCATTTACGTACTTTTAAATATAAAAAAAAAAAAAAAAACATACTCTTGGCTATCATAATGAATATAAAAAAAATTCGCCTTAAACTACACTTTTCTATTTTGGTAGTTAAAGAAAAAAAAAAAAAAAAAAAACGATAATTACATTCCATTTAAATTAATAGACTTCAATCAATACAAATCAAGGTTTCCAATACTTAACATGTCATAATATCATGACTTGGGAAATCTCAACAGTTGTCAGCTTTTTTTTATAATAATATGAAAAAAAAAAATGAAAAAAATGAATAAAGCTATTGCTATTGATTACATTCATTTAACATTTAATTTATTAATAATATGCACACGTCATATCCAACGTTCAGTGAATAAATAATTTGTCAATTTTTTCTAGAAGCTTTTTAAATTATTATCAATTTTCATTATATTTTTACATTTAATAATGCTTGATTGCAGATTGGAGTACAATTTTTGTATAAAATCAGAAAAGTCACGACATTATCGAGATGTAATTATTTTATAAATTTATATAAGGTAATTATAATGGATTATCTGCTGAGTAAAACAAAAGCAAAATTGGAAACAAAATATCATTTTGCGAAGTTTGCAAAAACAAGGTATATAGGGGTACAGCGTAATGAAGAGCGTGGATTAAAGATGCTTTGAAAAAATCTTTTCCTGGGCTTCTCCCGAGAAGACCAACCCATGATTGACAGATGCGAACGCTAGGGTATATGCCACCATCATTATTAAAAAACCCACTCCACCCACAGTTACTCATATAACGACTTTTCAAAATAAGGCTTTGTATGCGAAGCGGTCAAAAGAGACGAAAAAGCGAAGACCATTCTCAATAGCGTTCGCGTTTGAGGAAAAACCAAATTTCGTCACATTATCTCAATAGTTGCAGTCTGTAGGTTAAGCACAAGAAAACGTGATAGACAGACGGACAGACAAGTTTAGACCGCAGGTCTACCGCTAATTTTCTGGCTATTGCATAAGTCCGCATAAATGTGCCTTAAGAGATGTAGGGTAGAAAAAGTGCGGTATATCAATCGACAAATAGGAGAGCGGTTAATTACACCACACATAAAATTGAAAATTTACTTTCAAAGTACCGCAGCGAGTCATCTGTCGTTGATTTCATGAATTTTAGAAGTAGAAGAAGACGAAATTCACGATATTTTGCAAATAAATTTTGTATTAAAAGGGAGTCATTTGAGGCTAATAAAGGTGGCTCATGAATTTTTACGATATCCAGGTATGTGAACGTATTTTGCACTGTCGTTAGGCAACTTCAACGAATCATGCAAGATTAACCAATGAGACCCACATTAGGACGTGGAGATAATTTCGGATTTAAATAGGAACTACATTTACCAATACTCAGACCAGGGCTCTATTAAGCAGTTCAGAACAAAGTGTGGTTGGATGTGGAAGCCCATTCCGACAAAATTAAAAAATGTAAAATATTTTTATGAAAATGTCTTTCGAAGAAGCTAAAGAAGCTCAGAGTTTTCTTTCCAGACCTATTAACAATTTTTTGAAATTTTGGCTTATTAGCGTAAAAAGGCCATCTTTGTAATAATCGTTGAGGTCAAAAATTTTAAAATTAGCTATCTATTGCCTGTGCAATTATGAAACTGGCGCAACGATGTTGTTGCCGAAACAATTTGCCATCAGAAAATTTGATTGATATGATTAAAGAAGTTTGTAATTTGCAGCGGAAAGAGTGTTTTATGCAATTTTTCTTTGCGTTAGTGTCTGGTCGCCGATAACTTCCGCCAACTCGTCTGCTCCGGAAGATAAAAATAAAACGAAGGCACATTGATTGCTTATAGATCGATACTGACAGAAACAGGTAAGAGAAACTGCAAGAGATCGAATCATAAGTAACTTCCGTTTTCTTATCAGACTTTTATTTTGTTTTCATTGAATAAAAAAATTACATTAGTTTAACAAATGATTGTGTGGTGTTCAACCTTTTCGCTATACGCCTTGTTTAATGGCGCGGATATTGCCTTTAAAAGGTTTTCATCAAACTCGGAAAGACGTCCGTCTTTTAAGGTAGTTTCACCGCAATTTTACAAATCAATTTCTAACTGTTCTACCAGTTATCAGTCTTTGACCGTATGTCTTCCATATCTTTTCCGCTGTCGCCTTAGTGCTTACGACTTGCTTAAAACCCCAAAGCATCGAATATTCACTTTTTGACTCACCATTTCAGTTGAACGTAGCATGCACCGCCACATAAAACAAATGAAAGAGGATTAAGTGGATCCTCTTCAAACTCGTTTGTTCCGGCGATTTACAATGAGTAAATACGAACCTTCTAGGTATCTGCATCGGAAGTTATTTATGGCTACATCCAAAATAAGCTAATATTTACCTATCAGCAGCATTTAGCTGAATAATTATGGAAGAGTTCGGAATATATGGTTTCAAGTTGAAAAGACTTCAGTATTATATAATACGTCATTTGCCGTCACTGTCACTGTAAAAGTGTGAAAAAGAGATCATAGATCCATCAAGGAACTATCACACTATTTTGATTTAGTTGTGTTCCTCTGTCCGTTCGCGGTTGTTTTTCGAAAATCGTGCATCATTAAAAACCAACGAAGAGAAATGAAATTTATGCGTGTATTTGCGACATCACAACAACTTTATAATTATATGAATTCCAAATTCAAATATATTTAGTTTGCTAGATTTCGATGTTACCATCTGCAATTACCTAAAACTTTAATGCAAATTCACTTTCATTAACAAGTTTATTTGTCTTCTTCTAGTATTAACATACTTCTTAACTCTTACTCTCTATTATTGTCTCACATTGATTTCTCAAAAGGTCAATATAATTTGCTTATTTGAATTTTGCTATTTTCTCATAGAATAAGGATGTGCTTGCTTGACGGAGCTTGCGTTCACACAATTTTGAAAAACAATAGTTACAGTTGTCGTAAGTTTTCAATCTGCAATACTGAAGACACAAATTTTTTTGTGAACAAAGTTATAATTGAAACGTATTTCGTAGGTACACTGGGCAGTAGTTGCAATTAAAATTGAATTAATAACATCGAGAAAGGAGAAAGCAACTATATGTGCTACATGCGATAAGAAAACTAAGAAGTCTCAACTTTCCAATAATCGGGGTCGATAAGATAATCCCTCTTATCGGACATTACTTGTGTAAATTGTGCCTTCAAATCACTCAATTTGCCAGCGAAACCGCCGTACTCATCGGGTAATAACTCGCGTGGTACATGTTCATATAAGGTGTCAATGCGCGTGGTATGAAAATAAATCAATTTGAATACTTCGTTACTAACAAATGGACGCATAACGCTTATTAACGTGTCCAAATATGATGGACAATTGATCATATGTATGTGTTTAATGCGCGCCGGAAAGGCTTGGTGTAGAAATTTCATATAAATATGTAACGAGGCCATTGACAACCTTCCCACGTGCTTTACGTTAAAACCTGTCATGTCGAATATTTGCAATTCACCTTCGGATAGGCAATCGTCGCTTGCTAAGTCGGGCATTGAAAAGCGGCAATCAGTTACCATAATATAGGCTTTGGTGTCGTCAGTGAAGTTCATTTTTTTTGGATCGGGATCATTTAGCCGGAAAAATGTAATTTTATATTTTTCCTTTGTTAGGCCCGGCAAAGGTATCATATCGGCATATTCAAACGTTTGGTGACTGCTCGCATCGTTAGGATCACGGATCAAAAATATATGGGGATAAGTGTTGCGCATTAAATAATTGATTTCAATGCGCTTTTGTGCGTCTTCCACATTTTCGTGCATACACTGGTAGAATCGCTTCAACAGAAGACGATCAACTCTTTTTGGTAACTTTTTATTATCCTCAAACCATTTTTGTAAATAATCAATTTTGGCTTCATAGGCGGCATCGCTGCTTTCGTTCATGTGTTCAACTTTTAACGTTTAATTTGCTAACTTGTTTTATTCGTTTATGATACGCCTACATATTCAGAAATATTTAATTCCATTATTCTGCTTTGTTTTGCTTTTCTTTCTTGAATATTCAGCAAGTCAAAAACAGATGATCCGCCGCCTTTCTTTTGCACGCAAATGTTCTTCTTCTTCTTCTAAAATTCAACAAATCAACAATGGATGATATAGAGGGCGTTGTCAATAAGAGGTTTAGAAGGAACGGGAATTTCATTGTCTGAATCTTAATAAAGTTATTGATTAGTTCTGGTAGTAGATATATATGCACATGTTTACTTTTTTATGGCGTATTCTGCCGCACCACTCGCCTTAACACTCGTTGTGACGCATTTATATTTGTTTCAGATAAAAAAAGGCTAGGAAAGGACGGTAGAAAAGGAAACATTCCCATGGCAAGAAGCCATACGCAGACAAACGGTAACCATAATTTGAAACAGCATTACTTGACATCTCTGAGATGTATTTTCAGCAAGACGGAGTAATCTCAAATATAACTTTGTTCCCTTTGTTTCCGTTTTAGTCCCACAGGTATTTATCGAAATATCACTGTGGATAATGTCGCATCTTTCAGACCATCCCATATCAATAGTCCTGCCCCGATATCTGTTGACTTGAGGACAATCGCCAACTATCTGTCAGTCTCTCCTTGGCAACAGTGTTCATTCATTTCATGGTCGCCGCTGACATCCTTTATCTCCGCAGATATATATAACGCAATGGTTGATATATTTGCAGCTTGCGCTCTTAATAGGCTGATGTTTAGTGACATCAAATGCAATGACCATGTGTAAAAAATTAATATAGTGGGCAGCTCTCCACGCACATGTGGGGCTTTGTGAACTCCTGATCTTCCTCTACGTTTCTGTCCGAATTATAGCGCATGTGTTCGCCATTTCAGGCTGCGCAAATTGTCTTCATCTTCGCAGTGTCTTTGATATTTTGTGTTCACGCGATTTGGCGACCCAAAGCACAGATCTACTGATTCGCATAATCGGCTCTTTCATAGAACATTTACATGTACACACATGTACTCCATTATTTTTCATGCTCCAAGATACTTATTGCGATATATAATCCCAAAATCATGTTCATGTTATTAAATAAAATGAAACAAGAATATAACTGAAAAGTTTTGGAAAGATCACTTACAGCAAAATGATTACACGCAGACGTGATAACACGCAATGTATATAATATATAATAAATCTACAAACAAGCTAACGGCCGGCCTTAGTAAACTTCGTGTTCACATTGAAGGTTTTTAGGTAGCGCAGTGAAACATCTTTAGCTGCTTCGCACACTCGCAGAAGAAGAAGGGGAAGACGGAGTAATAGGAGTCAGCTTACGAAGGCAACAAGTCATTATAAACCAAGTGCGGTGGTGGTGGCAAGGTGCGCCCAAAAAATCACGCATAGTCTCTGTGTGCAAGGCCTTTATGTTTCAAATACTTTATATCCGCAATTATTATTGAAAATATCTTTATATTATTTTATTATTTTTACGTTTTTATTAATTGTTGTTTTTTATTTATTGCATTAAAAATATAATTTGTGCAAATAAAAATTCACAAAACAATAATAATTTATTTTTTATGTTTATATTTGTTTTGCGGTTTATATAAATGCCTCCAAAAAATGCTATAAAAGTCTATAATTTATTGTGTTTTTTGATATTAAAATATAAACAAATAAAACAGCAACACAGTCCTGCAAAAAAAACAAAAAAAAAAATTTCGCCTCCACAACAGAATTTGAGACACATCATAAAGAAAGTGAACTGACTAAACTGATATTAAATGATTTTATAATGAATTTAAAAATAAACATTTACAAACACACTTGGAGCATATAAGCGAAAAAAAGAATACAAAAAAAAAAACAAAAATACCATTCATATTAAGATAAATTTTGGTATTCCTCCTCCCAATTTAAGTATATATAAATTTATTTAATCTGGATATATCGGTGTGAGAATTAGGTAGATTTTTAAAATAAGTAACAATACGAAACGCATGTACACCCAGTAATATTGGAATCAAGATCTTAAAGTATATTCATCTGTTGATGTTTCCTTTTGGTTCAATTACTTAAAGAGACTTTCATTTTTGCAATTCTACATATTTTACACCGTAGTACAGTATATTTCAGAACAAAATACACTATACTGTAGTACAAAAATTTCCCATACAAAATATACTACAAAGTGTACTACAGTATAGTGCATTTTGTACTGAAAATTATTGTACTACAGTATAGTGCATTTTGTACTAGAAATCATTGTACTACAGTATAGTTTTTTTTTGTTCTAAATTTCAGTACAGCATACCACAGTATGGTGTGTTTTGTATGGAAAATTATTGTACTACAGTATAGTGCATTTTGTACTAGAAACCATTGTTCTACAGTATAGTGCATTTTGTATGGGAAATTTTTGTACTACGGTATTGTGCATTTTGTACTAAATTTCAGCACACTACGGTATACGACAGTATAGTGCATTTTGTACTGAAAATTATTGTACTACAGTATAGTGCATTTTGTGCTAGAAATCATTGTACTACAGTATAGTGCATTTTGTACTAAATTCCAGTACACTACGGTATACTACCGTATAGTGCATTTTGTATGGGAAATTTTTGTACTAGAGTATAGTGCATTTTGTACTGAATATTACTGTACCACAGTACAGCGCATTTTGTACTAAATTTCTGTACACTACGGTGTACCGCAGTATAGTGTGTTTTGTATGGAAAATTATTGTACTACAGTATAGTGCATTTTGTTTGGGATATTTTTGTACTACAGTATAATGCATTTTGTACTAAATTTCAGTACTCTACAGTATACCACAGTACAGTGTGTTTTGTATGGAAAATTATTGTGCTCCAGTATAGTGCACTTTGTACTAGAAATCATTGTACTACAGTATAGTGCATTTTGTACTAAATTTCGTTACACTACATTGTACTACAGTACACTGTATTTTGTACTGAAAATTATTGTACTACAGTATAGTGCATTTTGTACTAAATTTCAGTACACTACGGTATACTACAGTATAGTGCATTTTGTACTGGAAATTTTTGTACTGCGGTATAGTGCATTTTGTACTGAATATTATTGTACTACAGTACAGTGCATTATGCACTAAATTTCTGTACACTACGGTATACCACAGTATAGTGTGTTTTGTATGGAAAATTTTTGTACTACAGTGTAGTGCATTTTGTACTAGAAATCATTGTACTACAGTATAGTGCGTTTTGTATGGGAAATTTTTGTACTACAGTATAGTGCATTTTGTACTAAATTTCAGTACACTACAGTATTCTACAGTATAGTGTATTTTGTACTGAAAATTTTTGTACTGTAGTGTACTTTGTACTGAAAGTTTTTGTGCTGCAGTATAGTGCATTTTGTACTGAAAATTATTGTACTACAGTATAGTGTATTTTGTACTAGAATACATTACACAACAGTATAGTTTTTTTTTGTTCTAGAATATAGTGCATTATGCTAGAGTATACTATACTAGTACTATACTTTACTATACTAGTATATATATGCTATACTACACTCACAGCCATTTTTCGCTAAAATACCAAATTTCAAAAAATCGCTAAAAATAGTTCCCGAAAGAGAGGTTTCAATTTTTTTTGCTTATGCAAGAGGTACTTTTATGCAGATTCACGGGACATAGATGGATATAGGTGACATTTTCTAGCTTGGCCCCACTAGAGTCTCAAATTTGGGTATTCTCCCATATCCATTTTTCGCTAACATACCAAATTTCAAAAAATTGTTAAAAATAGTTTCTATAAGCAGAACTTAATTTGTTAAGTTTGTTTGAAATATATTTTCATGTAGATGAATGGGATGTCACAAAAATATTATGAGTTGTTTAATATGGATCCAAATATATCTTAATTTTAATTATTTAACAGAGCTCTCTTCAGCCGGTAACAGTGTTTTTTGGTAACAGATATGGTAAGAGTCTTTGCTAGTTAAGTTCGAATCTATCTTCATACCCTTTCTTTTCATGTTTTTCGGATTATCGTGCAATTTTAATTGAAACTAAAAAAAATGTATCGCACTCTATAAGGAATTTGTAGCACAAATGCAATTTGTAAGTGATGCTTAATTTCTACTTTACAGACGAAAGTTATCAAGCCAATCGTAAACAAAAAGCATTTGGTATCAGAAAACAAGAAGCGGCGGAAAAACGGAAATTTATTGGATACATAAAAAAGTCATGGATAGAGCGTTAAAAGAAGACCGAGAAAAATTGGACTTGTTTAGAAAATATTTAGATAAAAAATAAGTAAATTTTAGAAACTTATATACTAAATTTATATTTTTTTTATTCAGAAAATCATATCTTTTTCACATTCTATTTACTTAGTCTTGTGTGTTGTGGAAATTACAGAAATCTTATGCTGGGCAAAGCAATTTGGTACTCGACTCTATTAACCGACTTTTCAAAGAAAAAGATATGACGCCATTAATTTAATTAATTTTTCGAAAGAAGGTTCGCTAGTGATTGGCTTTCTATTCATATTCTAGGAACATTTTCGTTTTTGTTGGTATAAGCTGAAATTCCCGGTATATGTATACAACTCATCGAGGAAGAAAAGGATTGTATTGTAAGTTCTGAGCCTTCGATTTCGTTTTGAAAAGAGCTGCAAAGATTTTCTTCTTCTTCTAAAATTTCGCAAATTAACAACATGGTGGTAAATTTAACTCTCGCTTTCGTTTTGAACTGTTTTTGCACACACTGCGCCTAGTAGATAACGTTCAACGTGAACACAAACTTCTTTACCTGAACTTTAATAAATTCGCGTTTGGTTTTTGTTGTACTTATATATTTTTTTATGCGCCTTAAGCTTTAAGCTTTAAATAAACGTTTCTTTTATAAAAACATGAAAATTATTCTACTTTTTGATGAATAGTACTTGCGGAGTAGTATTGCTGCGCTCTGATGACCCAAAACTTTGCTCTGCTTTTAAGTTCTACTCAAGTCTGCTTCAAACATATGAAAAAATCTTGTACTTCTTAATACTGAACACATAACATTTAACGTAAGAATGTTTCATTTGCCTGACTAACGGAATAATTCTTGATAGCGATCTGGTATGGTAGTAGAAAAACTTTTGGTAAAAAATCGTTCATAGTAGATTTGATATTGTACGTAGTACACGTCTGCTATGAATGACAGAAAAACGAACTTCACTGCTATATACCATATCTGACATGGTATTTTTAGCAGTAGACTCTCAATGATATTCTTGGTAGTAAATTTCTCTGGAATTAATTGCCTGGAGTGGCAAATTTAATGTCTCTCGTGACAAATTACGCATTATCTTACAAAGATGTTAGAAAAGAGTTTCTTGAACATGCACTTTTAATTAACTTTTGGTATTTGGTATTGTACAATTTTCTAAGGCAACATATAAACATTTCTTATTATTTAGGCTTAACTTTTTCAATTATCTCTATGAGTTGTTTTTATGTCTATTGCGGTAGTGGCTTCGCTATACAGAATTAGCTCCTGCATGTTGAAATGTTGAACGTGGTCTCTTTCTGTGGGGAGATCAAAAGAAGTTCGGGCCTATAAAAGTCCCTCACAATCTATTGATTGATTGACCATGGACGGTTTGGAGTAGCAACGAAATCGCAAAGTCAACCTTTAAATACAGATCTGGCTCTCGGGAAAAACCCTTTGACATATTGACATATTATTCGACAATGTTTATATCTCTTTTTCCTTTAAAAATCATTTCATTAAAATTTGTCCGAAATAATTTTAAATTAAAAAAATCGCAAAACTTTTGGTGTCTACTCTTCGCACGATCAAAATTTTCCTTTGCAAATGAAGCAGTAAATTTCCTGGTTAAGCAGCGTCAGAATGCATTCCAATAGATGCAAACTTTTTCAAATATCTAAACGAGTTCCCCCATTTTTCTGGAAACAGCAAAATCCATGGAATATAAGTACCGGCAGATCATTTAGACTGTAATACATACTATAATCTAGCAATTGATTCATCTAGAATATTTCTGATGTTTATATTGCAGTATGGAACCGCTGCCAAAAGATTGCTCAAA